CTCTCTCTCTCTCTCTCTCTCTCTCTCTCACACACACACACACACACACACACACACACACATGCACACGCCCAAGAAAATAGAGCCACTGGGGGAACACCTTTACCTAAGTGTGTACACTGTTGAACTACCACGAGAATGACATTGTCATGATGCCAATTTCACCATGAAGGTTTGCTCAGGACTAGTCGATGAAGGGTGTAACAATTTAAATTGGAAGTCGGACAGATACTTTTTTCGGTAAAAGTAACTTTCAATCCATCATTTTTTAAAAATCTATAAACGTCTTTCGGGAAGAACGTCTTTGTGACCAATATGCCGCCAATCTGAGTGGCGACCCCGAATGGCTAACAAGTAAAGAAAAGTCCTAATGCAGGGCTAAAGTCTTACTTTAATACTTTTTCAACTCAATTATAATTATCTTTTTGGTTCTTGAATAGCCCTCTTATTTCTAAAAGAAATTTTAAAATCTATTTTTGTGCGACTTTTCTTTACTTTATACTTTCGTCCGATAATGTCGAGAAGATTTGCAATTTTCGGTCAAGGGCCTTGTGAGTGGTGTCTGTTGTTGATATCAGCTTTTACAGGAACTCTTTAACGCCTACAGTGTGTTGTGCCCCTGTCTTTGTATCCTCAATCTTTTGACTTTTTTGTTCGAGCACCAGGTGATTTTTGGTCACATTTTCATCAAATGATAGTGGCACTAAGTCTTGATACTTTTCTGTTCTATATTATGTTTCATGACCGGTTTCACCCTGTTTACTTTTCAGACAGTTTCGTTCCTTATGCAGTCTATTACGAGTAATTCTGTGCTGTCGCGGGTTATATAACCAACGTTTGTATGTTTCTAGGTTTCTTTTTGTTTTAATCGGGGTTTGTCTTGTGTGGAGATTGTGGCACACCTCATTGTTAGTCTCTTTGCTTTCCAGCTAATTTTAGCCACTCTGCAGTAGTACCCCATCTCAAACGCAGCTACTGTGGGCGATTAGCCACCAAAGCTGAGAACTGACAGAACTCTCATCTTCAAATTATTTATTCCACAGACTTTCAGACATGTACTCCTACATGGCATACTATTATGCTCGCTGTTCATCGCGCTCCTCAGGCCCAAATGACGCAGAAAACATTCTACATTCTCTGAAGTCAAGTTTGCCCGAGACCATTCAAACCTTGTCATTTCTTTTGTCACAAATTAATGTCAAACAATGTGAACCTGAAATACGCCTGAGATCGTGGTCAAGGATATCATAATTCAAGTCGATGATGTTACACAGGCTGGTGCAAAAATTCTAATCATGTATTGTTTTACTAAGTTTGGCTTCTTGTAATTTTTTTAGGGGGATCCCTGAACTGACTGTTCGCCTCGCTCACAAAAAATGGGAGTTTGATTCCTTAAACGTAAAAAAATATTATTAAATATTTCCAATGCCCGGCCTGTGTTGACCCTGTCAAGTATTGACGGAGCAGTCTTGCTCCTAAATAATCTAAGCCCATACATCTTGTCCATTGTTTTAGTATTATTTAGAGTTTCACGATACATGCAATACAACAATACAAATAGGTCAGATCAATGCCAAAGATTAGGACGATTGCTACATAGTTACCTATTCATATGTGTGCTTTTACGCCCACAATAGTACAATTTAGATCATTCAGAGGCAAACCGGGCTGAGAGTGATACAACATCCCAGCAGGCAGACTAAGATAACCGAAGAAGAATTATCCCTAACAGGAAATCAAGCTCAGGTTTTATGTAGCCCAAAGCGAGGCGCCTAATCGCTATCCCACCGGCAACTCAGATAGATGTTGGATAGGAAAGAAATACCAACCCACACCCAGGCACGTACGAACATCCAACTTGCCGATGGGAGCATAAAGCATAAATTGCAATCACCTTGGCACCCTCCAGCTTGATTTAACGTGACTTTTTAAATGAGCCTCGCCAAAATCCGCAGTTTTATTAGATTGTCACGCTAAGGACATGTACACTTTACCAAGCCATACATCTCCCCCCCAGAAATAATCAAGAGGTAATGCTGTTGTTTAAAGCTAATGCCTCTCGACCTACCTCTCCTGCATGACACTTATAAGCTGCCATGAAACTAAAGTCTCCTTTAACAAGATCACTGAAGCTCGTATAGCCAGTATATGCCTCACAAAAGCCAATCCTTTGGATCTTTTCTTATGTTTTGGCACGTAGCCTCGGAGAAAGACGTGTGTTATTGAACGAACGCTACCATACGATATTTCTTTACTTGTTTGTTTCCCTCTCTTTAACTCCCTCCTCCCTCCTTTCTATATATTATATTTCTCTTTCTTTCTTTCTATTTCTCTTCTCTCTCTCTCTCTCTCTCTCTCTCTCTCTCTCTCTCT